AAAAGTAGTGGGTACCTATTTTGATAGTGATTTTGTTGAGTCCTCGATAATCGATACATATCCACAATGATTTATCTTTTTTCTTTACAAATAAAATTGGAGCTCCTGCTGGAGATTTGGAATAGCGTATGAAGTTCTTAGCCAAATTCTCTTCAATATACTCCTTGAGTTCAGCCAACTCATTTTGTGATAAATTGTAGATTGGTCCAAATGGCGGTTAAGTTCTTTCTTAAAGGTCAATTGAGCAGGCATAGGAACGATGTTCCAAAAGAGTATCCACATTCTTCTTCTCAAATACATCTTTAAAATCTTAATATTGGCTTGGAATGCCACTTGAAGTCTTCCATTAGTAGAAATAGGTATGGCATAAATGACACAAGGTGATCCTTCTTTTGCAGCATGCAAAAAAGCTCTTGTACCTACAAATATAGGTTTAATTATATTAGACTTATAACTTTCTACTTGATTAACTACACTCTTAGTTATACTTTCAAAAAAGTCAAGACTATGAGAAGTCCAATCTATTTTAGGATTATATTTTTTTAGCCATGATAAACCTAAAATGATTGGATTAGAAAGAGATCTAATGATATTAAATATTACAAAGCTACTATGACCATTAGTTACTACTTCTATAGGAAGGATTTCATGAGTACGATCTCCTAAAGACAATGGACGACCATCTATGACTTCTACATGAACAGGTTTAGTTTTCTTCACTAAAAATATGCTATGTCTTTTAGTAAATTCTTCATCTAAGAAACATGTTGAGGCTCCTAAATCTAGCAAGGCAGAAGCTTTGTGATATTTAGGTCCTAGAATAACATTTATCATAAAACATGGAGAGGGTTTTGAGGAGAGGATAGGACCTTCACTAGGCATTGTACAAGGTTCCAACCGCACGGTCCTTATTGTAGCTGGACAAATTCGTTTTCCAACATGCAATCTTCTTTGATCGTCGTACTCCTTATTTTATGGTTGCATCGCTTCTTTGGACAATGTTGAGAATTGTAATTAGGTTCTTCACAATATAAGCACAATCTTTCTTGACGACGACGACGAGTCTTTTCTTGCTTAGTAAGAAGTTTGAAACGTACTGCATCAATTTGCATATCTTCTACTTTTGAATGTATGTGTTGAAGAGGTGTTGGTATTGCCATTGAATTATAGTAACGTTGAGGTCCACATATACAATTTTCATATTAAAATTTAAAAAGATAATTATTGCATTTCACAGCAAAGTCAATTGCTTGATTCAATGTTTGAGGATCAGGTAAGTTGAGCATTAATTTTTTTACCTCATATTACAATCCATAGAGAAATTGGCTAACAAGTGCAACATCATCCCACTTGATATAAGTTGCAAGTTTTCAAAACTGTGAAGCATATAACATTACTAATTGATTGCCTTGTTGCAAAATATGGATCTTATTGGTTGAAACACGAATTGCATCATGTTCTCCTTACATGAATCAAAACTCCTCCAAAAAAGCCCCCAGATTATCCAATATTAGATTTCCTCATTTGAAAAAAGATGAAAACCAAGATAATACTGAACTTGAAAGAAGAATACCAATGAATCTAACTTGCGATCCTAGAGATGGATAGCTTTGGGGTTGAAGTTCAATCAGAAGTTGTACTTGATTGATAAATCCTCTAAACTTTGATCTAATGCCATCAAACTTCTTGGATAGGGTAATTCTTGGTTCTCTAATACTGGAAGGATGTTCTACCATAGGAGAAAGGACATGATTTGGTGCAGATGTTGAAGTGGCTCCAATCATTTCTATATCTTCACTTCTTTCTAATCTTGTTGCTTCTTGTGGTGGTAAATTTAGTTGATGCATTACAAGCATTAATTCCCTCAATTGCTCTTGCATTTGTACCATTGTACTCTTCATTTCTACAAGTTCCGCCATCATAACACTTAGAAAAGTGAAGATGTCTAATATCGCTCAAGACAAATAGAAGAGAGGATTTGAGAACAAAGAAAATACTAAGGACAATATCAATTTAGAAGAGGGTAATCCGTAACTTCTAATATGCTTATGTCTTATCAAGAGAAAGGGGTAATCCACTCTTAATCAAGATAACACAAAGCTCTGATATTGTAAGTATACTCTTGTCAATTTGTCAAGGACAAGAATATGATAAAAACAAATAAACAAGTGAGACTTCTTTCAAAAAAAGATTACAAAATAGAAATAACTTGATATGTATATTAAGAAAGAAACTGGAATGGCTATTGCTAAAAGCCAAGAAAATTAGAGATCCTTGAAACTAAACTGGAAGCAAGAAAGGAGTTGACAGGAGTGAAGAAGGCTTCACTCTTGTCTCTATATATACTATCTAACTAGGGGCTATATGGCGATGTTCTACAGGACCTCCAATATGTGTTGACTTTGTAAGACATATGCCTTGACTTACACAACAAGTTTTTCTATATGTGGGCCACATAGTTAGCTTGGTCTTCAAGCTAACAATATGTATGGCACATGGCCAACTTGTTAACCGCGTTTCTAATCCAAAAAGTCAACTAAAGACACCTATAAAGTCAAAGCAATGTCTATGAAGCTTCTAAGAAGCTTTCGTAGTAAATATTATAGAATTAACTTATTTTTACCTACTTTTACTACTTCTACCTATTTATACATGTAATTATTGGCTTATATGCATATGTCCATGACAACAAGTCATTCACCATTTTTTCTTAATATCAATCAGCATCCAATTACATTAATAACTCTCCATCATTCCATCAACATCAACAACCCAACAATAGAGGAATTTATACAATGGCTTACAATGGCCTTATAAAAGGCACGACACCACCTCTTTATTGCACAAATCAGTAGAAGCAGTATATGGATAACCACCAACAATACAAGACCTTGTGGAAGGGTGATTAGGTATTACTCTTCAACACCAACTTACGACTTGGTACATCAATCCAAATCCGTAAATACTTTCCGTATTTTTGTAATGATTTCTGATATTGCATACCACCTCAAGCTTCTGTCACATATTTGGGTCCATCCAATCTTCCATATTTTGCAACTAAAAGAATTTCATATTGAGCCAAAGTGCTTTCCGGATCGACATTAACTACTACCACCACCAATTGTAATTGATGACCAAAAAGAATATGAAGTGGATAACATTTTGGAGCATCACTACCTTTACCGTAGAAGTGGATGTCGACAACTTCAGTACAAAGTTCTTTGGAAAGGTTATTCCATCCACAATGCAACGTAGGAACCTACACAAAACCTCATCCATTGCTAAAAGACAATCTAGAGATACCATTGAGCAAAATGACGACATTCCACATTAATGGAGGAAAATTAATTATAACAGGATATAGATAAGATATTTGTATTATTGAGACATAAGAATAGATAATTAGAACCATATTTGAGAAGTTATGGAAGATTCTAGAATTGGGATTAAATTAGTGGACCAAATAAGATCCACCATGGAATATTTTAGAAAGAATTTATAGTAGTTATTTAGGTAGGATCCACCATAGAACCTTCTAGAAGGAATTTAAGGTGATTATCTAAATAGGATCCATCATCTAGGAACATTCTAGAAAGTCCAAGGTCATAGAACAAAGTATAAATAAGACTAGCCAGGGCCTTTTGAGGCATCTAGTCACGTATGGCTTCAGATCTTTTTTCTTAATACAATTGGATTTTGTATTTTTTTGTTTTGTTTTGTTTTGTTCTAATTTTGGTTGCTCAGTCTTGTCTTTCATGTCCCATTTTGTTTACTTCTGTTCAGTTTTATTCTGAACTTATTTGTCCTACCTTGTGATAAGGTTTTATGTTGTTGTAGATTAGAAGGATCTTAGACACTTGAGTTGGGCCGATCTTGTTTCAAATAGGAAATTAAAAGACTATAGATACAAAGCTTTGGAAAGTATAGCATGTTGTTTCACAATTACTACAAATGGATGTGCTTTAGTTACTTTGGAAGAATCTCTCAACCATCCTTTCACACCAATTCTTTGGAATTCTAAATTTTGATTTATTTCAAAATGCAACATAGAATTAGAAAGGTTGGAAATTTGGATTTGGCTACAACTATGTAGTATTGCTAACAAGGGTAAGCAATGTAAAGGAGATGCATTTTGGATACTAATACTTATAAGATAGTTGATCCATTGTCAACCACCTTTTTGATTTTTGACCTATATGGTGGGATATTTTTGTAAGGCAAGCGACATATTTATTCCACCATATAGGTCAAAAATCAAATATTGACACACTATAGTTGGAAACAAGTCAAGGAATAATTAAGTTTACAATGTTTCTAATTACAAAAAAGTGACACCTAATGGAATAGGTGTGTTTTGATATAGTTGGCAATTAATGATTGGTTGGAGTAGAATAATAGCATAATTAGATACTATACTTTTTTTAATAATATAATTAGGTGCCACAATTCTTGGTTTAGTAAAAGTTGGATTTATAGTTTTGTAACCCACCATTGGTCAAAATTAAGTTGACTTATATATTGAAAATGGATCAAAGAGAATCTTCAACTAGAAATATCTATATAAGTTCTATTTTTGGGCCAAATTGTGTAAAAACACTTAGAATCCTCTTGATTTCTATTTCCCTAATATAGGATATTTACTGAAATGCTTAAATTATCGGAAATGGGTTGGCTACATGCATGGAAGTACCACCTCTGCGACTCTACAAGTAAAAGAAAAAATGGTAATAAAAAATTCTGGCTAAATTGAGTTTCATGAAGTATCGCAAGGTGCTCCGAACAAGCACTGTTGACAATCCTGCACAACAGGTGCCAACAATCCCGCAACCCCGGTCCGATTTTCATCATCTATCCTACTCTGCAGGGTTGAGACGCCTGAGTACATCTATTTGTACAGAATTAACATATATTATTTTCATTCTGGAAGAGACGTATTCAATCATCCTGTACAATATGCAAGTGCACAAGCACTACTGGTCTTCAAAGCATGCACAGTGGTACAAGTTGAAGTGCAGAAGATGAATGGTGATAAATAAAATGAAAAAAAGAAACATCGTGCCAGCAGCATCTTGACTGTCAAGATCAAGATCGTAACACGGCTGCACACTACCAGCAGTACCTTCCGGCGACAAAAGAACTAAAAGTGCCAGCCCTCGAGAAGATCCCAGAACTTTGACCAGCTCACCTGAACCAGAGCTTGCTGTGATATCTTCCAATAATTTCATCGATACGCGGCGGTGCTAAGCCAGACTCGTGGTGAAAGCCATTCTCAGAAACTAAAAACTTAGAACCTCACACTAGTTCGGCCGGTGTCGAATTTAATGTCTCCATCACTTCAGTATTAGCAGGCATTCACAATATGCGCGATAATCATTTGATAAATAGCCACCACTCCAAAGCTAGTTATCATCCTAGCCTCCAACATGTGATTCACCCGCTCCGACTCCATTTGAAGAGGAACTCCGCATATTGAGATAGTTTCACCATTGCGCACCTTCAATATTCAACAGGACCACCTCAACATCATGTAGCAGAGTTGGCTCGACACAAAATGAGCCTGGTTTCCTCTCCCCGTGCTGACGCTGATTAATCCAGCAAGATGTGGTTATCTATCAGAAGTCGTCGTCCTTGGCTTCTTGAACTTAAACTTAATCTTCATAATATCATTTCCGCCTTGATTCTCAACTTTAGTACCTTCCGACTGTGAATAATCATTCATAGGCGCATCAAAAGCAGGCTTTTCCTCAACTTTTTCATGACTATCTTCTTTTCGGTGTTTTTCCTCTTTCGAAGATTTATGTCCTTCTTGGCGGTGTCGCTGCTCTCGTTCCTCTTTCCGCTTCCTTTTCTTCTCTAGGTACTCTGGATCATTGTGCTTATCATGCTTCTTTTTCTTCTTCTTGTCTTTGCGGTCCTTCTTGTCCTTTTTATCATGTTTTCTTTCCTTCTTATCCCCGGACTGCTTCTCGACCCGCCTTAGGGATTCTGTTTCCTCAAAACCACCGTCCTGTGTACTATTTTCGGCATCTATCATTCCTGATAAACTGTTATAGCCCTGAAGATCAGATTCCATAGTCCGAGATACACCAAGTGCCTTTCTCGAATCATCTCTAGATTCTCCCATGCCATCCTGAGTATCCTCCCCATAAAGATCGAAAGGAGGCTCTTGTTCCGTACTTGCCCGAGAATCACTCTCCGGATATGTATTAGCATGGTAGGACCTTCTAGGACTACCGCCACCTTCAGTATCCTCATGTACTAATTCTTCGGTACCTTCGACATCCCTGTATTTCATTTCTTCATTGCCTTGAGCCGTTGTATCTTGCGTGTCGCCTTCCACCCCAACGTGAATATTATGCGTGTCGAGAATTTGCGATTCGTCTGGATGATTGTCTAATGGCTGCGTCCTGGATGACTCGAGCTGACTGAAACCTAGATTTGAATCTATAACCTCATGAAGATTTACTTCCTCTTTAACGGAGAGAGGAGAGTTGGCAACATGATGGTCCATAGGCACAGCTCCGGTGGACACTTCCAAAGCCTGGCTCGTATCGTCACCTAAAAATACGTAATAAGACTGATGAGGTTAACATTCTTAAAACCTAAAATGACACAACATCATTCTTTAAGTTCAAAGGTGAATACTAAAAACTGTGGAAGTCCTTCACTACCTCTCCCAATCGATTTAATATAGTCTAGCAGCAAGAACCTACACTACAGAAAAGTAAAAGTTCTAGGACAGCTAGCCGCATATACCCCAGACAAATCATTTTTGCATTCAAGCAACAAAGACACTATAGCACCATAAATTGTGCTTGGTGAATATTACCTAAACCTAAACCCCATATACCAACATGTGGATTACTAACCTGCACCTTCATGAGCAGAGGAAGACTTCGAAAGTTTTAACTTAATCGAGAATCGTTTGCCTCCAGAGCTTTCACTCTCTGCCCGATCAGCATTATCTTTAGAAGAACTTGGCAGTATAAGTCGAAGCTTCAAGGGCTCTGACTGAGGAGCAGGAGGGGCTGGAGATTGTGTAGGCCGAAGCCGAAGTTTGAACAAGTTTTTAGTCTTTGCAAACCTCTTGTCTTGGGATACATGATTTGGTGCCAATTTCGCGAGGAACTCAGCTGATCGATACAAAGATGCCGACCTGGTGGACAGCTCCAAATTGAGTTCAAAGTGAAGCAATTCTTCAATATGGACCAAACTGATCTCATTTTTACGGAAAGAGGATCGCGGCCGAAGATAAATGCAAGGAGTAGTATGAGCATGTCATACCTGCCAGCAAGAACCTGCAAAAAGGAGAAGATGCTATGCCGAAGCATAACGTTATGGAAGGCCTTACTGCTTTCTAGCAAGGCCAGCAAGCGTGCTATAGTAACTCCTCCAATTCTACATTTGCCTTTCTCCGTGATAGAAGCCATACGAACCACATGCTTCATAATTTTGCTCTGAACTGCAGTCCTACCACTAAAACCAGTGAGAAACTGAAAGGTCAAGAACAAAGAAACAATATGCATGGAATCAGCTAAATTACCACAATCAAGCTCATAGAACGATAAATATAGTCGCAAAGAAACAGGTCCATGTTTTTCAAGCAAGGGAAGAGGCTTCTGCTTACTAATAATATGAAAAAGTGTAGAATAAGGGTTAGAATCAAATACTTCACCTCCAAACGACAAATCACCATGGACTTGTTGTAAAGCAAGATTAACTGCAGCTTCTAATCCTTTAGATTGTAACTCTATATCCAATAGCGCCTTTAAGGCGGCCACTCGGACTTGCCACTGAACCTTTTGACGATCTTTGAATTGATTCAACAGTTGTTTCACTCGTTCCTGATTCGGCAAAAACCACCTTGTGTCACTAATAGCTCACTCCATAAAACCAGAGGAACTAAAACTTGTAAAATCCAGACGTTAGCTAGGTTCAATTTATGCAGGAGATCCAAAGGCAATAACTTACCGTAGGTAAAGCATGAGAAAAGCGTATCGCAAGCTTAGCCAGAGTATGGATGCAGCTTATGGTCACAACTCCATTATAACTTGGCATCAATCTGTAACCACGAGGAGCATTTAGATCACCTCTTTTGAAGTCTCGGCAAGAGCAGAATAAATTGAGTACATCATGATTTAAACTCTTATTCTACACCTCTGCAATTGTTCTAGGCACCATGTTAAGTGCAACAGCCTTTGAGGCATATATCATGCTACAAACAGAGGACAGTTTGTTCCGTCTACCCTGCCCTACGGAATAAACTCAAATTGGCCTATGATACATTTCAGGAATAGCCATGGAAAACGCCTAAGATAAAGTATATTGTGTAAAACAGTGCATCTAGGGAAAGACGAGCCATGAACTTCAGCATGCGATTCAAGATATGAATTTATCCAGTGAAGTGCGTAATGAAGCGCACGCTCTGACAACATATTACGATCTCCAATAACCAGAAATGGAAGATTATAGGTGTACAGAATTCCAAACACACCTGTCATATTGCAGGAAGCGATCAATCTGCTTAAGCATCCGTGCTAACGTCCTTAAATTCTGTTTCAATAAATATCAGTTTTCGAATGAGATTTCAATGTTGCCCAAATATAACCTTCTTAAAACAAATCGCGAAGCAGGAAGAATAAGGACGGGAAGAAAACACGTCGAGTGAAACCAGTATACGAAAAGTACACTGCAATTACAATGCACCAGACAAAAATGACAGACTATCTTTCAGAGAACTAAAAGTATATAGAGAGCATAGAGAGTAAAACTGCACCTGCTTCCCGAACTCCAGTGAACCTATGGATTCAATGACAGACGCTAGCCAGAATACATCAGAATATGCATTCCCGCTGTTGTCATTATGCTGCACCAACCCCAAAATGAGTAGACAATAGACTCTCATGTGTTCAATACTTTTATTGCGATAACTATGAACATAATAACCCTAAAAACGTGAATTCCCTTAAAATAGCAAATAGTGCAACTATAAGGTCCTCTAACTGGAGTTAAAAGATCCATCACATCTAATGCGACCTTAAGTAACAGTCGTATCATACATAAATTCAGTACTAACCTTAAGAATATGTAGAATGAAATCTGTTGCTTCCAACGGGCTCTTGCCGTCACTACCACGAACTTCAGCTACCGCTCCTGGAATAGCCTGAATGAATAAACAACATACAGTATATACTTTAAAAGAAGAAAAATAAAAGTAACAACCAGTAGGTTGTGCCCAAAAGTCTTTCACTCAGACGTTGCAAAAGATTGTAAATTGGTAAATGTCATCAGTGCTATTTAGTCCTTACAGATTGAGGACTACGCAAACCTGAATTTTATACGACTAGTTCACTCAGAGATAAAGATCTGCAAGTCCGAGGTAGTTGAAGATTTAAATCACAATACTTAAGATACCAAGCACAATTATCTACTTCACACTGCATTACGTTTATTCACCAACCGATACCAGGAAAACGCAGAATGCAATCAAGTAGTAGACGCCAGACATAATTGAGGATGTACCTCCAAAACGAAATATTCGGAGAAATCGTGAAAGTCATTCGGCCTGTGTCCCCGAAACCCCACAACCCATCAATCTCCTTGAATTTTTCATGATGTTAGTATGATCTTCGTGGGACATGGAAGTTCATTTTTACATCAGAGAGGCAGAAAATTATACTCACTTAGGTAAACCTATGTCGGGATCAAAGCGACGACTTTTATAATACTTTAAAAGATTCTGTAACCCCATATAGCTTGTTCCCTGCACACGAGCAAAAGAGAAAACTCAGTGAGAGAAAATAGCAATACTGCTAACTTTCTGGTATGTGGACACATCATAATCGCAGCACAAGATTCAAGGTTCACATAGCATGCACATATAATCAAAGAGATCTTCGCTGACCATAGGATACTTATTGGATTAAGTGGAAATTACACCTCTGATGCGGTACTAGCGAGTGCAGCAGCTGCTTCAATTCTCACGCGACAGAAGACCTCCAATCGTCAAGGACCAACACACAACATCAGATGACAGCTAAGTGGGGTTCTTGTAGCCACTTTTGATGACATGTACCACAAAATTAATAGGTTGTCTTTCTTCAAGTAAGATGGCAGATAAACGGAGATGTACAAACTATTATGAAGGGAAGAAAATCACACACCTAGAGCCGTTTTTTTATTAATCATAGCTACCACGTTTCATTACATACCTTAGGATCAATGAGGCAATTGTTAAGAGCATTGACTACAGCGAAGGACGTGCGAGGATAGGCACGTAATGCAGCTACAGCTTGTATTTGACCAATAACATCCCTATCTTTCTCCAATTGATTTATCTGTGCAGGAAGAGAACCATCATCAAGAATTACTAGTGGAGCAAAACTGCGATTTTAAATAATGTTACAAGTACACATAAACAACTCAGAACTGCTACAAATATGACATAAGTTGTTTTTGCATTGAACGCGAGCCATTAACACATACCCACATAGGCTCAGGTTGACGTAGATTCAGCTCAGCTAAATATTCTAGTTCTGGATCCCCGCGTATCCATAAAAGTGGGGACTCCAAACTGCCGAAAACACAGTAACAAACAACAAAGACCTTCATCAGACTGAAAAGAAAGATAAGGACTGTGACGAACTCTTCTTGGACTCAATTGAGCAAAAAAACTATGCCAACAGAACAGACGAAAGGAAATTACAAATAAAATTCGAATTCACTGTTTGCAGGCACCTTTGAGCTGGAGTAGCATCCACATTATCCTCAACAGCTTCACCCTTCGCTCCTTTCTTAGGACGTTGTATGCGCCGACCAGCCAGCTTGGAATGACACTGAAGTTCTAAAAGTTGGTAGCAATCACCAGCCATGGGTAAACTTGGATGGTCATACATGCCATCTAACTCATGCAACCTTATGCTCATCATGCCAGGCCACCCCATGTCCGAGAGGCGGAGCTTTGACTCTGGAGCTTCAACTTTTCCGATAACTCCTACATGCTTAGGCATAGCAGTGGACTCCCGGTGAACAGCAAGCTCTACCATGTTACGCCTCTTGCTGTATACAAATCCCATCCTAGCAACAAGTAGCCCCAGAACATGATTTATCTTCAAACTTTAATGAACTAGGAAAAGTTACAATAGTTGTTGACTATCCCTGATATCCAAGATCTCAATATCAAACTCACTGCGCATCAAAACCTAAAGAGATGAAGTTATTTTGTCCAGATATTGTTTCAGAATTGCAAGTGAATTCCATGTAACTTCAAAGGGTTTTATCTGAGATAAAACTAACGCCTCAAACTCAAGTATGCCCTAGTCCCGAGGAGGCTACCTCGTGATAAAGAGACAACTTGGAACTCAGACCTCTTTCCATCTTCTATGGTATCTCTAAATACCATTAAGCATCAGGATTAATAAATGTAACAATCACCAGTATAAATACTGTATTCACAAAAATAAAAAAGTCCACCACATGGTCCAAAAGCCAACTCAAATGCCTCGGATTCTAAATCAGCAAGACATGAGGAATGACTAACAGATTGAAGGCAGTAAATACTAACCTCAAGCGTGGGCACCCTGATGATTCAACCCAGCGAGGAAAAAAATCCTTCAAGAACGGACGTTCCAGATTTCCCAATTTGTTTGCAAAATGACGAAACTGCAAACCAAATAATAACCATCAGTAGGCGCTTGGCAGGCTTGTAAAACTGGAGCCTATGGTGTACAAGGGGTGGTATAAAGGAAATTCAGTGGGGGGACTGTCAAACGGCAACGACACGGTATTAATGGGACAAATTGCATCTACATAATGATTAAGACAAAAACTTGGGGCTTTTTCTATATTATCTAAGTGAACGTGCATAAGATGTCTGAAAAACACCTCAGTAGTGCTTAGAGTTCGATTCTTGCGGTTAGGATCTTGTGCTCTCATGATTATTCTTTGTAAAACCTGCAATTTTCACAGTTCCAGATCAAACACAAGAACTCGAACATAAAACAGCAAATCAAGGAAACGAAATTGTTTTGTTAAATCATAAAATATATACCAATTGACTTTATCTATACCTTTCGAAATGGCTCTGGACCCATTTGCTTTTCCAACATTTGCACAACTGCAGTCTGTTCCACATGGACCCCGATCTAAGAATCAGTGTCTATTGGCACATACATCCCTTCTCGGTAAACAAGTGATAGAGAATAGTGGCTGGTCCATGCAAAGTAAAAGTGGGTTGATTACGCCCACTAAGCCATCAATAAAATACACAATCAACAAGTAGTGACCGTAAACGGACATATTTGAGAACGAAAACCATGAAAGAATAGTTTAAGAAGGAATTCGTGAATATTTTTGAGAGAAATATCAAGCACTTCCAAAAGAACCAACAAAGAGAACGTGAATTGGAGATATTTTCATCACGTTTTACAAAACATTTCCTTATGAGTAACATTTTGATCAAGAGAGACGTGGTTAAGAAGTTCATATGAATCAAAACGTACAGCTTTCCAGATCCTAATTTTCCCCAGTACACCAAGCTTTTCGGTGCCACACATGGCCATATCCAACCCAGCTGGAGGGCTTAAGACAGGTGCTCCCTCAACTTCTACCACGCAGACGGCTTCATTTGCCTGCAAGAGCTTTGATTGTTATTTTGTCAAAAAATTACAAAAAGTTTGAACCTAAAGATGAAACTTGACAATCATAACCAAGAGGTTACGCAGATGGCTGCTACAAAGTGTAAACTTCCAAACGAAATTGGTAAGGGTCTCAACTCTATTCATATCATTACTTGAGCTCAATGATGTCAAACCCTATCCTACACAAGGAAAAGAGTAGCAAGACCTACACCTTATAACGTCTAAAGCGGGCTTCATTGTTTCCAAGAAAACGCTTGACAAAAAGATCCGTGAGCATTCCAGCCAAACCTTCCAAGAGCCAATCTGAAACAGCACATGATTCGTCAAAATGACACTTTTCAAAGTTTCCCAAACAGCAACATTATAGCCAAGGATGAAGGCTTCGTAGACTATTTGATACGCAAGATATTATGAAACGCGGACTTTTTAAATTGTAGACAATACATGTAAGAAACTGGGGACAGCTTAAAACCTACAATTTTAAGCATTCTGCTGAACATTCACATAATAATTACAACCTATTAGTGGTAACAGACGTAACTCTCAGATATTGAACGCAAAGCTTTTCACAATTAAATAAAAATTTCATGAACTCTTCTCAAACATATAATTATGATCTTACCATCCGCTGGAGAATCAGGCGTTATGAAGATACCAAACCACTGTTGAGCCAAGGCGTATGCAAGCTTGATACGTGTGCTTATAGCCTTCACAACAACAATCATGTTCAATAAAAGCCGTCTGAGAGTTCTTCAAAGGGTGAGAAGTATACAACCTATGACATCGCCATACAATAAACCCTCAGGAGGTGATCAACGCAGAGACAATAACACTTATAGTAAGTGTCCATCAGAATCCCAACCCAGAAGGTAACAAGATTTGTTGTAGCCACTCCTGAATCTTGTCTGGATTCGCATGCAAAATCCCTCCCAAGCTCATGTCCCAAACCATCTATCAGAATCCACACCTCTGGGAAACACAACTGGTGGCTAACAACCCTCGACACCAATATGAATAATATCATATTCATATTAGTGTTGAAAATAGGAAGGAAAAGTAAAGAGGGGCCACGTTGGAGGATTTGAAACAGTTCTGAAAGCCAGAGGCTGATTTTCAGTAGCAAGTACAAGCATTGTCCATCAAAGAAGCTCACACTACCTGATCAATAATGTGTTCATCTGCCAAAAGATCCGCACTGAATGTTGCTAAGGATGCTCCAACGCTACTTGTTGAAATGACGGCATCACCAGGGAGAAATACTTGTTTATAGCATCCAAATGGAAAAGGGGCTCCCAGGTATTCTTCATATAAGCTGCGAAAAGCAAGGAATGTATTCCAAAAGTCAATATTCAATGGATGAAACCATTCATATTTGCAGGAATTGTGCAAATAATTAGTCGATTGTTAGGTGCATTCATCGTTTAGTAAAAACAGCAACGAATATATTAGCTCTCAGAAGTAACGCACAATTCCAGATAAAATAGTTCATCGTCGTAATGTTATCAGGCTAAAGTAAGATCCATGCAAGTCTCAGTTCATCGAATGAAAGAATAGACCAGATGGATTTCTACTTCATCTGTTTTGGGAGGTCACGCTACAAGAAATACGAGACCCTCAAAACTTACCCAAATCTGGTGAGCACATTTACGGAGTTAAGAACCATTCCCAAAAAATTCGTAAGTACGCTTTTTAGGGCTAGTTTGAAGGGTTGAGACTAGTATGAACCTGAAAACAGTGTGAAAGGTATTGATGGACGAATTTAACGTTGCTTCCAGGCCCGGCATACACAAATGAGACACATTTGAATGATGCCGATCTGGAAGAACCACTAGAGGTGCAACAACCAGAGACACATAGGATGCCGCAGTTGGGATCGGAAGGCTGTAGACATATGTCTTGAGATGAGTTCCCTCGTTGCTGTACACCTGCTCACTCATTGAAGTATAGAATAATGAAAAATGCAAGATGACAAGCTGAATCAGATTTTAAGTTTCAGAAGCATCATGCTGTTTTAAAACAAACCCATTCACTAGATGTACAAGCATGATTCCAATCAAACTTTAACATGCCAACCAGATATCATTAACACAGAGCCTATAACAATAAGAATCATATCACAGTAAAGTATGTATAGCGTGTATTCTAGTCAAACACACAAAGTGTGATCTGCCTTCTAAGGGCAGTTTTGAAGACAAAACGTATGAGTTTCTAACCATACTCCAGAGCTCGCACCTGGTGAAGCAATTTGCCATTGCTAACTGCAACATACTCTGACCGGACTGTAAACTCAAGGTCGAAACTGGCAAATGTTTAACAAAAACATGAAGTTAATATATACAAAAATCATGGTAACGATGATTGCGCACACAACTAAGAGGGCCGAACGCGAGGAGGAATGTAAATTGATCCTTGTTTTTGCTAGTCACCAAAAGCGGTTGGTGATTAACACGGCAGAATCACAATCGTCCAAAAACCAAAACTGCTATTATTTACTGTTGACATTAAAGAGGATCAAAATCAAGTTGCTGAAATACCTGCATCGTTGCAGGGTTGAGTCTACACAAGGAAACCAGCAACGTGCTCGCCTCAACTGATTATTAGTGTAAAAAAGATGCCCTTCAAAGTGACCTCCTGAGGGTGGCTTCTCTACCCAATAATCCACACGCAAAATTTTGACCTGCACCATTTCAGATAGTTGTTCTAAGTGAAATTTTAAATCTACTCGAGTAATGGATAAACAGTAGCTGGGAAGTTGACAGTCAATTACTGACCACCCACTCAAAGCACAAGTAGTTCGTCCATGCAATCAGAAATCACAGCCGTCACCTCTTCTGACTGAGGATTGGTTGGAGCCACCAAGTTAGCGCTCTCGGACTTAGTATCAAACCCTGACTGTGAGAACCCGTTCTCCAGTCCCGCATCAACCTGTAAAAAAGAGAAAAACTCCAACTTCTAAAGTTAACACATGAACACGGATGTTCACAATTGTAAGCCTGAATAAGCATGTCATGAGCACACCGCAACTAAAAAGTAGAATACATAATTGAAAAAAAGAAAATGTTCCATTCTCACTTCCACTACCAATGAGCATAGAAGCATAGTCAAGATAAATAGAAATATTACAAACTTCGATTTCTAGTAAGAATACTGTGTTTGATAGTGCTTGAACAGTGAAGCTGGTACAAAAGGTGGAAATTGATTGGCTTTTGCACATGACGAAGGCGAGGAGGCTTCATTGATATGAAGCCAAATTATAACCGAGAGTAGAATTGAGGACCAAAATATGTTAATACACCTGCTCTATGAGAGCATAAGTAACAATATATTCCGAAAAGATGATGGAATGAACTCTAAAACTTGCAAATCTAAGGTTCGTAAAAAAATTCATGAAGTTACTTGAAAATGTGCATAACCGAAACCTACGACGAGATTATATGTGCATCCACCAATGCGGGGTTTCCATGCCTCACAGTCTTCCAATAGTTATATGGTCATGCTGAGAACACATGTTGGGACTTAATGTGGTGAAGAAAGTACACCTCTAGGGTCATTTCAGGAACTTGGCCCGGCCCTGTTGGTGTCGAGGAAGGAGGAGGATAAACAAGAAGCTCAGGCAGAGATTCCGCATAAAGATCCCCTGAGTACTTCTTATACGCATCGTCAGCTGCCTCCAGATTCGACTTAGTGTAAGGTGCGGGGTGAGGTCCATCATTAACGTTCACCTCAGAGAAATGTTTTTGGTTCAGAACCTCAAATTGAGCTTCAACACCGTCGACAAGAACCTGTTCAATGTGCAGATCTCGAGCATGCAACCCGATCGCTTCACCTACTTTTCCTCCTTGCTTTACCGCAACCTTTAGTTCTGTATGCCTGCATCAGGTGTGAAAATGAATTTACTGAGAGCAAATGATCCAAGGCCATCTTCAAACAAATTGATATTGAAAAACAAATCTGCTCAATATTCAGGACTTCAAGAACATCATAAAGTAATTAAGATAAAACAGATAAATGTGAATTTGGACTACCGCAGCTATTTTACATTAAACACTGAACCTTAGACAAAATACCTGATCAGGTCAAAATCAATTTCAAAGTGTGACTATGCAAGACCCTAGTTGGAAGTAAACCAAAAGTTCAGACCACGGTACAAAACCTTGCAATTTAATGTCTAAAAATTCATATGAGGTACACGAGTAGAGTAAATGACAACGTATGTCGAAAAGCATTTAATGCTTCTAAACTCAGAACCAAGAGGGCATTAACTTGTCCTTCGAAACCATATTAAGTGAGAGCGCTCACCCATAAATCCGCTGAGCAGCTAGGTCGATGACCACACAAAGCTTCTGGTGAAGTATCGTGCAGCAAGATGAAGCAACACCTTCATTCGATTTGATGACCCCTATATCTACTCAACAACCGTAGTTAGAGGATAACTTAACTCAAAATTTGCAATTACTAGGCACTTAAATTTGTTTTTGCATAATGAGCATCAACGTCTGTCTGCTTCACTGCTGAAATTATACTGTGTTACTATACACTGTGAGCAAGTTAGCCACCTGAGGGTCTCTGCTCTTTCTGCTTCTGTTTCCGCTGCTTCGCCATTCCTGAAGCTCATTGCCGGCTCTTACAATGGCTGCAAAGCCCCATCATACTTTTATCTCTGCTGCGCCATAGCTCTTTTGATTATTAAGATAGTGCATTCTGCACAATCAGTTTTTTGTGGTTTATACATGAATCTTGCTTGCCCTCGGAAAAGACATATAATAAGTAAACAATAAGGTATGGAATCTATCTAGTATTTCCCAATGACTTAGTACGACACCCTCCAACTCGTTAACCTGCCAGCTCGGATCGAATGTACCAACCTTCACTCGCACGACCATCCACCCTCTATTCCATAAAATGTACAATTTGAAATTATACTATAGCATTCAAAACGTCAGATAATTATATTAAACCGTTGCAGAAAACAATAATCTCTTTGTTATGACTAAGTTGTGATCGTATGTAAACAAAGGTTCTTGGACTAATGAACCAACCCCTGCTACTCTTCAAACCTAGCTCAGTGTTTAGAATGAGACACCTACTTGCTTCCCGCATGCAATCACCTATGCACAAAAGCACAATTCAAAGATCACTAATGCAACAACGTTAATTCAATCAGAACAGACGAAAAAAAATTCAAAAACTAGGACCCCAAGACTAATATAACGGCTGTGATAGAAACAGAAACTAATGCCTCTTCTAGCGACCAAAAATTCCCTGCATAAATTCAATTTATAAATTATTGTCACCTTTTTCTTCATAGATAGATTAATAAACAAAAATAAATGAAAAACAATAACATAGACGGAAAATACGATTCTAAATTGACCTCTAACCTCTACTCAGGTATAAAGGCCAACGTCCAAGTCCGTTCCGAGCTGAAAAGGAAGCATCACTTGCCGCTCATGTACCCACGAATTCCACAATCGATAACAATGCCACCTACCCCTCGGACTACTATAATTCAAGCTTCCAACACTTCCAGGAAGAAGCGGCAACCTCCCCAAACACTGCTTCTTCTTCTCTTCTTTTTGGTTGTCTTTCCTTTTTTCTTTAGTTATTTTTTTTAAAGGACTGAAAAACGATAATCTCCTCCAAGCGAACTTCACGAATTCCACTTCATCGCCAGAGTCGCGATTTTGATCACTACCTAATACCAATACGCTAACGGACCAGCCGAAATCACCTGAAATCACCTGAAATCACCTGAAATCAGAAGATTGTCACAGCCCTAATCAAGAAACCAGCCTTCAAACAGCCACAGGAAATGCCAACGCCACTTCGGAATCTATCCCTAACGCAAGAGCTCGCCACACCGCGCCGCAGAGCCGATCGCGCCAATAAATATTTATCGTCACCACAAGACCTGGCCACAGCACTCCTACCAATACTTAACCCTAGACAGTTCCGCAAAAGTTGAGCGGAGCAGCTCTTTCAATCCACAAAACGCAGGGCGATTGCGTTTCGACGTCGCAGCAGGAGGAGGAGAAATTTGTTAAGGCACGGGGAGGAATAAAACCTGCAGCAGCGTCATGGCTAGCGAGAACAGCAAGGGCAGTCAGTATAGTCGCTAGACAAGCTCAGATGCGCAGAAGCTCTGCGACGCCAGCGAAGAAATGGACATGAACGAGACAACGTCTTTATATGCTCACTGCCCCTCCAGCTCAGCATTCTGACGTGGCAGAGCAATTGCTTTGCCCCCACTTAAACCCCCCCCCCCTTCACTTTAGATTATTATTCTCTTGCCTCGTCTTTGTTTGCTAGGTAGTGGAGTCCAATGGTGTTGTGGGCAAATGCTTGTATTGCTATTTCATACTTCTACTGTACATGCTACAATTCTTAATATCAGTCCACAACTTGGAATCTAAGAATATATCAGCAGTCATGTTTTCTCAACAATTATATAAATAATTGCCTTGATATAGGTTTCTATTGTTTTTAATAGTAAATGTACACACGTGACTGTTTGTTTTTGTTATTTTATAATATTTAATTCCGAAAATGTTGTAAATGTTCGAATGCAGGTAGGTGATTTATATTATTATATTCATCGATCATTATTTGTTATTTTTTATTTTTTGTGAATTGAAAATCTATTGTTTATTCATACAAGTAAAAAATTTAGTTCATTATATTAGAATAGTGTACCACTAATAAATGTTTTACTTATATTTAAATTGCACATAGAACTGATAAATAGTAGTCATTCTTTTCAATGCTTTTGATTTATTTTTTAACAGAGGATTTTGATATTTTGGTAAAAATATATTTTAAAAATATTTTAAGTTAATTGTATTTTTAAATATATTTATTTTTATAAATATAATTTATTATAATATAAAAAATCAAAAAATAATAATGATATTTTTTAATTAAATGATGAAGCATTTAAATTAGGATTTGTGAATTTTTGACATATATGTAAGTATAATATTTAAAAAACCACAATCATGGTTAGTGTTTGTTATTGATAGTTTTTGTTATTTTAAAATGAGTACTATAGAGAATGTTACTGAAATTAAATCTTTTTAATTTTTGTTCAAATGGAATGTCAAATCCTAATTTTGCATTGTTAAGAAGTCATATCAATAGTTCTAAAATAGTCATAACTTTTAGTAAGAAAGAGGATTTACATCCAACTGTACCAACAATCATATTTGCAAATATAACCTAATGATACAATTAATTAAATTTTTTCAAATAAAATTTTGAAAATGTTAAATAGACCTAATGTTCTTACTAAATCAACCCACCCATCTTAACAATCATGGAAAAAAAATTGACCTATAGATTAATTTATCTACTATTGGATCTACAACCAATGAAAATCTGCCACATTCATCATGATTACCATATTCTTTGTTAAGGATGGGTCAATTTAGTAAAAGCATTGATCTATATAATATTCATCTAAAATTTAATCTCAAATCCAATTTTTAATTCTAAAAAGGAGGGTAAGATCTTAATAAAAATGCTAATGAGATATGTTGTCTTGTCTTTGCTCCCAAAATATTGCTATAATTTTTTTAAGAACTATCAACGTTACATATTTGTAATTTTAGTGTAGAAAAAAAATTAAAAATATATATATATATATACAGACATGCATACACACATACATATATATTTACATAATTTCTGAACTTCAACTTTGAGTATCAACATCCAAGATTAAACTATCTATGTTAAAAACATTCTTATCTAAATTATCATCTAAAATATCTTTAAATAACTGAAATGTATAAATTATCATTATTATTCTAGAAAAATTATTTTAATTTTATAAATTTCTAACTAAAATATAATTTATAAATAGATTTTTTAAAAATGAGTTATTTTTTTAATACATAAAATAGTTAATTTACATAATTAAAAACACTAAATTTTAAATCATATAATTGTGCACAAGAATAACTTATTTTTTATGTCAAATTGTTTTTTAATTAAAAACACTGATAATAACAAGTAGTCTTTGAAAGTATTTTTAATAATATAACATTAATATAAAGAACCAAATTATTTAGTTTTATTAATGTATTTTATTGTAATCTTTAAACCACATGTATGTATATATTTTAAACTCAAAGTCTTGTATTATATTTGTATTAATTGTTTTTGAAGAATTGCAAGTGTTATATTATATTTAAGTTATAGAATCAGTTCTTATTAATAGACATATTTTAGAAATATACGGTTCTTTTTTAAAAAAGAATGTATAGAAATAGAAAACAAAAGAAAAAAGTCTTAAATGCATGTAAAAAATAATACTTTTGGAATTGTTTAATTTTCAAAAATTAATATGGCTTATCATGAGAATGACAATTATTGCTTGTACTATGTTTTACAAGGATATTATGAAGTTTTGTAAGGACCATCATATTTTAAAATAAATTATCTCAAAACAATACAAACAAGCTACTACCAATATAGCTTCTAAATTGTTATACATGATTTTTATAACAAGAAAAAAAAATCAATTATATTTACTATATTTAACAATTAATTTATCAATGCAAGAAATAACATTTGCTTTCATGTGTTTTTCTTTTTTCTTTTTTCTTTTTTTTAAAAAAATGAAATCACTATGTGTAGAAACAAAACAATGAATATGTATCTAAAAAATAAATACATCACAATATAGATAGAGAAATTTTAATGCTATATCCCCAATTAATATCTCTATTCTCAACATGATCTCCTGTGAGACAACTAACCAATAATATGCCTCTTCCTTTTGCTTATTTTTTCCTTTCTTTGCTTCAAGAAAGGGTGGTAGTTGAGTGGGAGGCAATGAATATTTTATAAAAAAATAGGTCATGAGCTGTTTTTTTTAATACATAACATTTTCATTATATTTTTATTTTATTTTGCTTAAAAAATAAAATAAAACCAAAAAAACCAGAAAAACCAAAAAACTCATACTTTTAGGATAATATTGGGGTTAAATAATGGGCTGCAAAATAGAATAATATTGGGGTTAAATATTGGGTTGCAAAACATGCCCTAAGCATAGAAATGTGCTTATTACTCAATTTTAGTTGTGTGGAGGCCACACAAAGTGTAGCAATATCAATTAGAGATGTAACATTAACAATTTTGTATAGATTACACTCCTTATTTTTCTATCAGAGAGGTTATATTATTTCAAGTGATGCTCTTTTAAATCTGTGTTCTTCAGAAATCACCCCTTTGTGCAAAGAGGTTTGAAAAGCAACTAATAAAAAGCAGATACAATAACATGCCAAGTGTTTCCTTTTCCCCTGATTTAGTAATTTATTTACGCATCCATTCATCAACCACATATCCGCCAGTTTTCATCCATTCACGATTCATTCATCCATACAAAGGGACCAGCATAGATACTGAGCGGGGAAGACTAGTTCACCGCCTTCTATTCACGTGAATGGGACAATTGTTTCTATTTCTTCACGGACTTGAACAGGTTGCGCTGGAGGAAAAAATTCGGGGTGAGATATGCGTAGCGGTTTCATCATTAACCACAGTCAGTGCATTGAGTCTTGTGTTGTGTGCCGATGGGGCCCAGTTTAGTGGTTATCTGTTTTACGAAGTGAAATTCGACCTCCCAAGTAGAATTCTGAAGAATGCCTTGGACGTCGAGGGAGGCAGCGATGGATTCATGAGCTTCCTTGCGTGTTTACGTCGATCGGCTGTTTGTCGGGTTCCTTTTCTTTCATTTTTTTTTGTAGAGAAGAGGTATATTGCAGAATTTCGAGGCAGCCATGGCGGTGATGGACATGGTGCTTGCGCCGGAGCAGCAGCAGAAGAAGAAACCTACTCCGGGGCGAGGTGGTGTTGTGGCGACGCTCAATGAAGATGAAGCGCGGGTTCGTTGTATTGCGGAGATTGTGAGTGCGATGGTGCAGGGGTGTCGGAAGGGGGAGAATGTGGACCTGAATGCGTTGAAGTCGGAGGCGTGCAGACGCTATGGGCTCTCTCGCGCTCCGAAGCTGGTCGAGCTGATTGCTGCGTTACCTGAGTCAGAGAGGGAGATGGTGTTACCTAGGTGCTGTATACCTACGCCTCTTGTAACTTGAGTTACGTTTTCGAATTTTCTTCGTTTTTCAACTGATGAAGTGTAACGTAGACCAGCTTAGGGTTCGGTTTGTTTCAGTTCAGCTGGGGGCATGGGGTTTACGGTTGTGGTGTTGGTAGTTTCTAGGTTACGAGCCAAGCCAGTGAGAACTGCGTCAGGAATTGCGGTGGTAGCTGTGATGTCGAAGCCGCATCGATGCCCTCACATCGCAACGACGGGAAACATTTGTGTTTACTGCCCTGGAGGGCCGGACTCTGATTTTGAATACAGTACTCAATCATACACTGGTTACGAACCTACCAGCATGCGAGCCATCCGGGCGAGGTATGGATTTGTATTCGAACCTATAACCTTTTCACTTTTGCAGCTTTTTGATTTTTATTCTCCTATGACGTCCACCTAATCTAGTTTCATTAACTGAGGAAACAGAGAGTCGCTCATGATACTTGAGAAGGGTGCTTGTGGAGGGCACCGCTATCGTGGACTTAGATTTGAGTACTTGCTGTCACCCCAGCTACAAATTTATTAGTACTGGCTTGATGGTTCTCAATGTGTTACCTATGACGTGATGGGCGTACTTCTAACGACCAGCATTTATTGTGTGCATTTTAGTCTTTCGTGTTATAGTATTCTGGCTTGGTTCTTTACTTGTTGAATTGGTCATTTGTGTTCTACAGGTACAATCCTTATGTTCAAGCTCGAGGCCGAATCGACCAGTTGAAGAGGCTAGGTCACAGTGTAGATAAGGTTAATTTTTTGTCTTCACATCTTTTTTTCTCTTAGAATGTTTGGCGAACTGAGTTCCTGATTTCATCACCTAAAATGATCGATTCAGCTTTTTTAGCAGGAATTATGACCTTCATAGACATGACTATCGTGGGAAGCTAATTGTTTAGCAGCCATGAAAGCCTCTAATATTATAGATTTTTTTATATTGACATGTGTGAATTTGTGCAGGTAGAATTTATCTTGATGGGAGGAACGTTTATGTCTCTGCCTGCTGATTACCGGGACTATTTTATTCGCAATTTGCACGATGCTTTGTCTGGGCACACCTCTCATGACGTGGACGAAGCTGTACGGTATTCAGAACATGGAAATGTCAAATGCATCGGCCTCACTATTGAAACGTAAGCCATAAATGCTCTAGTTTTCGTTGTTGAGATTGATATTATTTCTTTGTGTTTATCTCGGTCCTTACTTTGCTTAGAGCATGACATGATATCTTGAAGTTCGAGTCTTATAGAATTAGACGTTTTGTGAGTCTTTAAGTGGTGTACTAAGGTGTGGATGAAGGACTCGTGGTTTTGTTTGTGCGTAACTACTTTTTGGATGAGTATTCTATATTATCGTTTGATTTGAAACCATTGACTGCCGAATTCAACAGTCAAGTCATCCAGGGTTCTTATTTTTATTTTTATTTTTCCCTCTTCAAGAAGCACTACGTTTTTTGTTGGATTAGTCAGAATTTTATGTCTGAAACTAGGCTTTCCCGTGGATTTTCCAAGCTTTGAACTTGATGGAAGAGAGAGGAAAGACCATTATCTAATTGTGTAGACACATGTGTGTAGGAGACCTGATTATTGCCTTGGTCCCCATTTACGTCAGATGTTGACGTATGGTTGCACCCGCCTAGAAATTGGTGTTCAAAGCACCTACGAAGACGTGGCACGGGATACTAACAGGGGACACACAGTTGCTGCCGTCGAGGACTGTTTCCGACTTGCTAAGGATGCAGGTTTTAAGGTAGTATATACCATAGTAAATGCAGCTATTTTCTGTTTTTGATTATTTCCTTTTTGTCTTGAGATATAGGTTCTGACTTTGATCCTTAAGCTGGTATTACTTGGTGTGGTGTTCATTGCATTTCTTGGGCATTTAAATACTTAATTTCAGACCTATATAACAGTTTAGAGGATTAGAACTCTGTAGCTTTGCAACTATGGTCTACTAACAAGGGTTGTGGTCCTGAATGCAGATAGTTGCTCACATGATGCCAAATCTTCCCAATGTTGATATGGAGAGAGACATGGAAAGCTTCAGAGAGTTTTTTGAAAACCCTGCATTTCGCACTGATGGTCTCAAGCTATACCCCACGCTAGTTATTCGAGGAACTGGCCTTTACGAGTTATGGAAGACTGGACGGTAGGAACACGCTTCACACAGAATATTGCATCTAGTTGTATGGCTTACATAGTGTCAGTAGCGTTAAATAGTGACTGTGACTGTTAATAGCTCACACTATTGTTTGTGAGATGACGTTTTGGGTGGCATCAACATTGACAAGCACAAAATTGAAAATCTAGGTGTTTGACACTTTTTTTTTTTTTTTTTTTTTTTTTTTTTTTTGTAGAGTGGCTATTTTGTGTAGAGCTTAAATCTTAGACAACCGATTTTATTTGCAAATCTTGGTCCTTGGTTTTCTTTCTGGTTAAGAGATGCACATATTTTTCAAGGCATTTCTGATTGTATAAGGCTCTTTAACTTAATAGATACAAATTATTAATGCAAATAATACAAATTACGTTCTCAACAATGAATGTTCTAATCATGTCTTCGATGGGTTTTCATCACAGGTACCGTAACTATCCCCCAGAGCAACTAGTAGACTTGGTAGCACGAGTTTTGGCCCTGGTACCACCATGGACTCGAGTGTATCGAATTCAAAGGGACATTCCTATGCCGCTTGTCACTTCCGGTGTGGAGAAAGGTAATTTGCGGGAGTTGGCATTGGCACGCATGAACGATCTAGGTTTGAAGTGTCGAGATGTGCGGACTCGAGAGGCAGGAATCCAGGTCAATTTCTATTACTCATGATTTACCAACTGCTGCTTTATAGTTGTACTTTATCAGACGAAGACATGTTGAATTATCTTCCAACGCACAAATGGCCAGGATATGAACTAATAATGTTTTTTGACATGACAGGACATACATCATAAGATCAAACCTGAGGAAGTGGAACTTGTCCGACGGGATTATGTTGCGAATGAGGGTTGGGAAACATTCCTGTCCTATGAAGATACTCACCAGGTAAATCAATTTTTTCTATCTAGATTTCGGCAGAAGCATGAGCAGAGTTAGAACCTTTGGATGATGTAAATTCTTTAATTTGTCTTTGCTTCATTCTATCGACTTAATTCCCAGTTTTTAAATCCTTGGTGATGACCTTATGCGTTTGAGCAGGATATCTTGGTAGGACTGCTACGACTTCGTAAATGTGGACGCAATACCACTTGCCCTGAGCTTATGGGCAGATGCTCTGTAGTGCGAGAGCTACATGTTTATGGTACTGCCGTTCCTGTCCATGGCCGAGAAAATGATAAGCTGCAACACCAGGTATTACGTTACATACATTCAAATAATTTCAGATCAAATGTAAGCGTTTTAATTCACTTGGTCATGGATAGTCAGTTAATCCAAAGAGAATTGTAAAATCGATCTCTAACAACCTCATTCCTTGACTTGGATCAACTTCCATGTGCAGGGGTATGGTACGTTGCTGATGGAAGAAGCTGAGAGGATCTCATTGACAGAGCATCGATCTACAAAGTTGGCAGTTATTTCTGGCGTTGGTACTCGCCACTACTACAGAAAGCTAGGGTATGAGTTGGAGGGTCCATACATGGTCAAGTACCTAAAAAAAAACTAACTGGTAGGTCGGTTTTCTTTAATGATCTCAAAATGTTCAAGTTGCTATGTGGTTTAAGAGTGCCACTCGTGCATCTTGGTTATGTTTCATCAGTAAAGGCCGATGGGTTCATATTCGACTTTCACTTTCGAGGTGACGTCTTTCAGTTGAAGTGCTCATTCTGCCCCATACTATCAGATTCCGACGAATTACTGTATCGGTAAGCAGCTTCTCATGACACCAATTTAAGCAAAACTTCAAATATAATCCTCATATGGCTGCTGTCATTAGCCGTGTCAGTATGTTATGTAATCAAACTTTATACATCTCTCTCTCTCTCTCTCTCTCTCTCTCTCTCTCTCTCTCTCTATATATATATATATATATACACCTATGTATGTCAAACGAGAATGCCTATACCACTATCCTCGTAAATTATAACTTGCTTCCTCCAAAGCTTTGCTTGCCATTGGATCAAAGCAGGGCATAAAAATTTGATTTCATTCTGCTACAATATTGTTTCTGAACTGCCATCACAGGATGACCTTGAACAGCATATGTGGTCATCTGATGGGAATGACAACAGGTCAAACGACGCAGTCCAAGATCATCCTATTCAAACTGCATCAGCATCAATTTGTTATTTCATTGTTGCTCATTATAAGCAACAAAAATAAATCATTAGTTATCAACTTAATTATATCAATAGAAAATCAAAAATGGCTTCTACACTGAGTAAAAGTGTACAATGGTGTAAATAGCACAACAATCAAAGAGAGTTCACGGGGGAAAACATCCAGTGTTAGTTTTATTATGATTCCAACTGCTAAAATATTAAGAAAAAGAAATATTTAGGAGAAATTTTTTCTTTAGATTTAGGAGAAAATTTGAAAATTTGGTCAAAAGAAATATTTAGAAATAAAGTACACAAGGTTCAATTTTCTACCAATGGATTGGTCCTTTATTAGTGCCCATTAAACCATGAGAATAGATGGCAAGATTCAATTATGAAGGTTACATGTATACTTATACAATTTTTTTAGACGTAGGAGGTATTTATAGTACTATTTGCTTAGTTTGTAGGATTGTCTTTATAATTTTTATTTTGGAACAATATGCAATGAAAGAGAGTTGAAAGAAAGAAGAAAAAAGAAATTACAAATCATACTCATACATATGTGTATATAATTTTAAAAAGTTTTATATTCTAATTATAGTTTATATAAAATTATATATATAGTATATTTTTTATCCTAATTTCTTTATTTAATGCCATTTCTATATATATATATATATATATATTAATTAGGAGTTTTTAACAATAATAAGATTTTTTAACAACCAAGGATTAGAAGTACTAATGAATGGTTTTCACAATGCTTACTTTTCTTAGAATGAAATTGCTTTTTTATAACTTTCATATATTTGTGACATTTATATATATAAATATATATAAGATTCATTGATCTTTTTTGTTTAGTCCATTCTTCTCTTTTAACATCTTCTAAAGAATAGATCAATTAATGTACTTAAATATATTAATAAATATTATGGTTTCAATTTTTAATATTTAAGTACAAGTAATAATATTTAAATAAAAACATGAATCACAAAGAAATTTAATGAGCAATTCAAAAACCTATAAAAATATTTATAAAATTTATATTCTATTTTCTATTCACTTATTTCTAGATACAATAAATTTTTATGTGTATTTAGTTAGTTTGGGTCATTTTTATAATTCTTATTCTCAACATTTGTACTTGAATACATAAATAATGTTTTAGTGCAATAGTCATAGTTTTTAATTATACATGCACTTATGTGCATATATTTTTTAGAAGCTGAAATGAAGAAAAAAAAGTAAGTGAATATATAAAAGTAAGAAACACAATGTGGTGTATGTATATAAAAAATGTAGAATATAGACAATCATAAGAATATTAAGACAATTATAGTACAATAGGGTAGAAATCACTACTAATATTATTTATATAAAATTTGAATGGTGATAAACTTAATGATCCAAATTAATTAGAAAATAATACAAAAAAAAAAAAAACTTGAATAAAAGTATTAGTTAATATTAATTGTAGCTACAGCATATGATATTCATAATAAAGCGCAAAGTGGTGGGATGAAGGAGACAAAATGTACAACAAGAGTAGTTTTAGAAGAGTAGTTTTAGAAGAGTAGTTTTATGACTATATCTTTCTATTCCAAAATATACATAATTCAATCATTTACTCATTGACTATACGTTTGAGTTTTGTTTCGAAGTGTTTTTATAAAAACAAATTTGTAACACATTTGCAACCGAGAGCAACAAATTTGCAGATTTGTGTTTGATGGACAAATGTGGAGGATCGAAGGATTTGTTTCCATTGCTTTGTCAAAATTTAACCTCAATCTAATCATGTCTTGCTTGATGCAACCTGAACAGTAGTATTTTGCCGATATTCGATGCATCCCTCTGCCCTGCACCGTAAATTTGAACCATATTCAGTCGCAATACACGGTTTGATGCAGTTGCGTTATATCTCCAAGTGGGTTTGGTATTATGTTGCTTTCCTATATTTAATTTGCAACTACAGATAGTTTTATAATACTCAACTTTGCATGAATTTCGACTCCTGGTTGTTTCGTTTTTCATATCCGGAATCAAGGCCTTGCCGCAAAGACGGGCTCGTAACAACCATCACACAAATGAAACTCTCGCTCCTCATGCTGGTGCGGAAACTGAAAAACCATCCAGGAGTGGGTATTGATGTCGAATGTTGCAACCCAATTGATGGAGCTGAGAGACTTGATTGCAATTCTACCATCCACACTGCTGACCTCGTAGGGCAGCAATGCTTCTGCTGCCGAGGGAAACAGTTGTTGATACATTTCCTTGGGCATGGTTCCACTCTCCACTTTGTTGTAGTTCCCGGACGGTGACCCACACGCTGTTAATTCAACCTCGACGAGCATGATGAAAGTGGGCAACTGTGCATACCTCGTGACGGCGAACACCCGAAACGGCCCCGCTTGCACCACCTTCGGAGCTTGAACCTGTCGAGAGGCTACATTTATCAGTGTGAAGTCGAAGCATAGGCGTTGTCTTCTGGAATCGCTGATATTGAAGTAGTAGATTGCAGGTATGTGAAGTTCCTCGGCGTTTTTCTTTTTCAGAACCCGGACTCCTCCAAAGTACACGCCGTAATTGATAACAGCCATTCCTGATCGGCCACTTTCGAAGTAGGGGATCGGTCTAGCGTTTTCTATGTAGTTCGCATGAATGTAGGATTTCTTCTTCGAGGAATACACAACCACGCTGAGTATATCACTGAGTCTACCTTTCTTCCTCTGCGTCTCCCAACCGGCAATGATCAGATGATAGTTGCAGCGTCGCGTGTCGCTAAACACAAACTTGGCTATTTTGCCATACATTCTTCGTTTTGGGATGGGTGGCAGGACTAAGTATTCACGAGTAAGAGGGTTAGTGATGCACACGATAGACTGGCCCCCGCATTGCTCTTTTGCCTGTGGGTTTCCCCAGAACTTATCGTTAGGGGTTTTTGGTTGGTCCCAAAGCATAATAGGCTTTGTACCTGGTTGCTCACCTCCCTCCATTACCAATAGACCTGATGTCAATGCAGTCAGTGACCGCATCAGCTCAGAACCAGCTTCACAGAATGATAAACGATGTACAAAATATGAATGCTCAAGTGTTACCAGCGGATCCAGCGATGACTCTGTCAACGCCTGGAGGAAGGAAGTTCAAAGGAGGGAGGGCCGTCCAGTTCCTTATCCCTCGATCTTTAGGGTGCGTGCTTGACAAGTTGAAGCCGATGTTGTAGTATAATTTGGTGCTAGTTTCCAGAAGGAAGGGACTGTAGCGATGATACGCCCTCGTGGCAGCGTCCTTAAACGTCACTGGAGTCCAATGTCTGAGCCACTCGTTTTTTGATATCTCTGTCGGCGTTGGTGGAAACTTGCAGGCTGTTGCTATGTGTTTCCATGCTGCTTCTAATTGATAGATTGGACACCTCTGCAAACTTCCGTTTAGTCAGGTATATGCTACGTCTCCACCTTCATTGCACTACATTTTTCGGATCTTCCTTCTTTTAGATTTGTTTGTGTCGATCTCAGCTAGAAAATTGGACAAGATTCGACGGTAAGAAGAGAGGTAAAAGTACTGTACCGTGAAGAGAAGTCCAAGCTTTTCTGAGGTCAAAAAACGCCTTGCGTTTGGATTGTTGAGAATCTCTATGATGTCCGGTCCATTGTCATCTGTCCAGGGCGACTCACTCATTGTGATAGCCAGATCACTCTTCAACGACGATTTAACACGCTATCACAACCCTTCAAGAAATATAATTGACAAAATCAAAGATGGGGATTCCGGAGGGCTGCCGATTGTGATAGAATGTGGATGCCCTACGTTTATATTCATTGATCTGAGACCCTCCCCCTTCACCTTCCGTGTTCTTTAACGATAATCTTAAGGTTTCTGAGCGTTCGTGCGTGAGTGACGGACGTCGGTCCATCACTTCATCAAGCTCTCTCGACAAAAAATCAATATCAGGAGTTACGTGGAATTACGAGGAGTTCCGACAGGGTTCCATCCTCCGTCAAGGAAATTACAATTTGGACTTTATAAGAGAGACAGCTTCTCCCAAAGTAAATTCGGTGAGGTTAGTGTATGACCGACGATGCTCCAGCTAGAGTGTCTTCACATGCATCCAATCAATCACACAGTGAAGGTGAAGAGCTTGTTCACCCCGGCTCTGCTGAAGTGGTTGTTGCGTATAATTATGAAAGCTTTTTTCGCAGATGAGAAAGCGTAAGGCATTCAGTTTAGTGAGCAGTTATCAAGCGCCACAACCCTTCGTGACTGAGGCCTTGGTAATGTCTCGACTGAGCCTGTTGGTGACGAAAGGCCGTAAATCTCCACTGTGTCGGTGTTCAATTTTGATTTAGTAGATCCATTGTCAAAATCAGTATCTAAGATGCTACCCGAAGTTATCTTCTCTTCCTCGAAAATTGCGTTCATAAACGACACTGAATCGAGATTCTTGTGACAACCGCTTTCTAGAACAGGAAAAGCAATCACAACATAAAGCACACCATAGACCTAATCTCGCCCGAGATTCGATCCCAGCATAGCGAAAAAATCTTTGAAAAACAAGTCCTGAAAATGTGTCGATGTTTTCAACACATGGATAGTGTAGGCATCTAGATCCGTTCTTTTTTTCGCAGTTTTTTTTAATGAAAACGAAATCATGTGCATAAACTGAAGGCACTACGTTCGTAGCAAATGCAGAGATGTTAGAAGAGCGTGTTTTTAAAGGTAATTTGCAATTAGGAGATATCCACACTAATCAATACTCATTCAAGCTTGCAACTCAGGTTCAAGGAATCACACGAAATAGTGTACTCCGAATGCTCCTGATTGTAAGTAATAGCGTCATGCACAATACGCGACGGCTAGGGAATCCTTACAGCAGTGCAGATGTTTTCTATTTTAACTCACGAGTCAGTCTGAGGTTGTCCACAACAGCAGAAAGCAAAGATCATCACAGTAAATCTTGGGTCAGCCACAGTTACACACGCGATTGCAAGGCCACAAGGTAAACCGTGTACCCAGTTGGTGCAGGGCGGATTAGAATCCGAAAAGAAAAACGAACTCTAAACCGCAGTAGGTCTAACTGATGGCAAGGAGGAGTTCGCAGCATTTGAAATGCTAGCCGAACTGAAGAAAGCGACAGTTCGTAAAATAACTGCATCCCCTTGTACTGCTACGAACAGTTTGAAGCTCTTCGTACATGTGATTCCAATTCAGTTTTAGAAGTGTGACATGCTTATACAATTCTGGCAAATGACTAGACGCCAAGCTGGAGAGCGGAGACTGACGCTTCAACCTGCAACATTTTGCTTAAACCCTAAACCCCGGATCTCAGATATGACAGCAGACGAAGAGATGAAAACATCCATAGAGAAATGACGTATGCCACGTAGGCCTTGTTAATCTTCCCTCCTCAAAATTGCAATGAACTGAAATAATGATAGAAATGTGCGTATGTGATAAAAATAGCAATCATTTAATACCGACCATCTCGCATCTCCCAGCAATAGGGTTTATTACAGGCTTAAAAATTGCCTATTTCTCCAGCTTACTCCACAATGCAGGGTCATTATAACCCTCAATCAGAAATGCCGCCCCTGCAGCAAGAAGAGCAGGCCCAGGATTTCCCGTTGTGATGCCTACAACTGGCAATCCAGCTGCCACCGCTGCACTCAAACCTGCCGGGGAGTCCTGCGATAACAGAAATAGTACCGATGAATGAACTTGGTGACGTTAGTGAGATTTACAAGGGTGAAACTTGGACAATGAGGAGCCATATAAACACAAAGTGCAATGCCATAAGCAAATATTACTCTATGTGAAAATAAAAGCTTAACGCTATTTCAACATCTTTCACAAATATCTGGGTCTTACATCAGATTACTTTTTTAATAAACGTTACTGAGGTAAAAGCCCAAGAAAGTTTATAACTTTGTGGGAGCAAGAACTTACCTCAAAAGCGAAGGCATTTTCAGCCGAAACTCCGAAATGCTCAAGTGCCTTCAAATAAGGATCAGGGAAGGGTTTTGCCCTTTCGCATTCACTTCCGATTACCAAATGTTCAAAGAAGTCAGTGAGACCAACTGCAGCAATCATCTGTTCAGCATTAGGGCGAGGAGCATTTGTAACAGCAGCACGACGGAAACCCTTCTCCACAATCCAGTCTGCCAATCGCTTAAGGCCGGCAACAGCACGAAGTTCCTTAGCAGCTAGCCTGTTTGAAAAGATCAACAAATTTTGGAATTGAGGATACACAAAATCCAACGATACATTTGGATCCACGTCCCAACTCAGCAAATAAGATGAGTTGTAATGAATGTTATGTTGCAGCGATGCAAAATTTAAGTGGAGCGTTTTGCACCATAGTGATGTTAGTACGACAACAAGCTATCAAGTATTCCCGATGATTATGATATGACTACAACGGAATTATGTGATAGGTTGTTTGCTATACAAATATCATTATGGGGCAAAAAACATCGACGACGAGACAAGATGATGACCTTCGAAAATATGCTTCTTTATCGTCTAGCCATCGGTCTCGTCGCTGTTGATCCCAGTCAGGGAAAAGAAGTACACCAATTTCAGAATTGTGCTTTCCACTGATGAAGGCGCTAAAGAACTCCTCCGATATCGGTATCCCATTGTTGTACTCCAACTGGAAAACATAAGTATCTAGTTAACTCTACATTCTTCACCCGTCTTTCGTTGCCTGCCACTCTACAAACATACATGTGCGCACAGAACATTCAAATATTTCCAGCATTGTACACTTCATGTCGATGCAGGAATCCTTCTTGACCAGAAATATGAACGGATATTATCTTACGTAATTTGCAAGCAATTTTCAAGATCATGTGTCCCTATATTGTTTTAGCAATCTGCCGATACTCCTGTTGCTGTGGAAGAAGTGTTTAGCAACAACGAAACAATAGTCTACAGGCTTGCAAATCACATCAGACATACATCATTCAATAAAACTAACAACCAAGCGTAACGAGTGCACACCTCAACCAGCATGTCACGAAAAGCAATGTAATGAAGGGGATCGGAGTCTGCTAAGGTGCCATCCACGTCGAATAAAATAGCCTTCACAGATTTGATGGGAGGAAGCGGTCGATTTGCCGGTCCTGGAGTCATAACCTTGAACTGTCAGAACAATTGCATATTACACTTAACGTGTTGCATTATCATAAATCGTAACTACATAAGCACCGTACTCGACATCAACTTCCTGAGTGCCACCTCCAAATTATAAGCTGAACGGGTGGAAAAATCATGATGCCAAGCCACCACTTGATCGATGCTTACCAAGGCCTGTTACCGGATGATCTGAGGACGACATGTTGCTGGTTCAATAGGACGAACTCCGCCGTCTTTTTAATGATTAGAAACTTGATAAGCCACCAGTATCTTGGTCACCTGAGATCTGTTGACTGAACACCTTGTGAATCACATTCGTGCCTGGTTATCAATTGAGGATCTCCGTCTGTCAGCAACACGTTAAGATTATTGGGTGAGAGCTATAATCTTTCACAAGGAAACAAATCGTCTTCAACACAAGACTAGTTTAAAAAATGATAACCGAATTCCTCACCCTACCCAGATACACGTTGACTCTAATTTAGCTCGTTATCTAAGAAAAATCAGTAATTATGAAAAAAAAATGATTATTTCATGCGCTTAAAGCCTTCGGAGGCTGAATGGCGTTACTTATGCAATGCACACAATAATCGTAAATTCCCCTACAGCCCACAATCACCTAGAACCCTGATTCTTGACCAATTGTCCCTATCCATGTGGTCAAAACCATCCATGAAACGGGGCAGGGCTCCCAAAACTCTGCACAACGACACCCCAACATCCATGAACGAAGAACACTGCCAAGAAAAGAGAAACGTAATCCCAAAAAGCCCAGAAGTATTACTCACTCACAGCCTCTCCAACCTGGATATGCCCACCCAGATACTCAAAATTCTTCCGCGGCTTGTCGCGCTGACAGGTGATCGCCCAAGCCAGAAATCAGTACGAAGAAACTATTCCTCGCACCGAATGTGCGAATCTACCGAGGCATATGTTGATGGACAGCAAAATTGAAACGTGAGATGCGCATTAAGCTACAATTGAGAGGCAGCGTGTGGAAGCGCTGTTCTGTGGTGTAGCTTCCTGCAGATGAAATAGGAAGCGTCCACTTGGCGGGCTGCGCACCTATTGGCTACTAACTCCCGCTAATTCTGACTCACCAGTGCCTACGTGGATGTCATTGCCCGATCTCTGCGAATGGCGGGACTTTTAGTCCACGCTGGCAGGAGAATGACGTCATTGACTTTTCCTCCAAGGCCATTTACTTTTACTTTTTGTAAAATCCTTTTCGTCTGAATTGTTACTGTGTTTAGATTCCCTGATTGTTCGATCCAAGTTGTTCATTACGGGGTGGCATTGACTTTGATTCAAGTGGTGGAGAGTTCAATGGTGAAGTCATGTGGTGGAGAGTTCAATGGTGAAGTCATGTGGTGGAGAGTTCAATGGTGAAGTCATGTGGTGGAGTAACCACACAATGAAGTGGAGGTCAGGTAATAGCACTTTACAAAACATAGTGAAAACTTTGTTTAAATGTAGCAACATGCAAAGAGAACTAGCTGAATCTCTGCTATTGTCATGGAAACTCTGACTTGAAAGAAGCATTTCGTGGAAGATATATTTATGAGCCAAAAAATATTTTTCACAATTCTTTTAAAAAAACAAAAGAATAAAATACATAATGGAACTTTTAGCTACAAAGTGGGCTAGTTGAACCCTTGCCATTGTCACATTTATATGAAAAAAATTAGTTAATTTTTTTTAAAGAACTACTTATTAAGGCATAACCATAAAAAACATAAAATTGTATTAAGGCATTTAAGGATGTATTAAAGACAAAATTTGAAATTATGGATAAATGATTAAATAAGTAAATAAAATAAAATACAAAAATAGTAATAAGTAACTAATCAATTTTTTTAGAAAAATAATATTTAATATGGAATTTGAATTCTTATTTGGAAAAAGAAGAATCTTGATAGAATGGGAAGAAGTACATTGAAAAAGTGCTACATAAAGTTGATTACGGAAAAAAAAGCTCTTTGTAGATTCAAATCAACGTGCTTCACCAATCATCTTTGGGACTTATTTATTATTATTGCAAATACAAGATGTATTAAAAATTACTTTTTTTAGAATAAATGGAACCTCTTTTATTGAAGAAGTTAATGTAATCCATAAAATCAATACCAAGTTTCTAGAAAAATTTGCCTCAAACAATTCTTGCTTGAAGAAAAAAATCCATTAGTTGTTTAAATATCAATTGGGTTCCTTTGCAAAGTCCTTAGCAAAGGACAATAAGTCTTAGTTGCATCACCAAAAATCCAATCTTAAGACAAAGCCTTGATCTAGCCATTCTAAATAGATTAAGTAACTTAATGAAGTCAACCAAATAAATATTATTGTTATCAATGCAATCTTTGATAATAACTTTATTGGTGCTTAAATATTTTTACTCTTCTTTAAGAAAGATGGACAAAATCTTTTCATTAATCTCTTCTACACCATCATTTTATATCAATAAAATGATTCTATTTTTTAAAAAGCTAACATTTGCTACATTGTCTTTTGTCAGTCTTACATAAATAACATCAATTAATGATATTATTTGTCAATTGACAATTGTGTGATTCAAAAATATAACTATATTATTAGGTAAAAAACTTCTATTCTTTCTAATTTGATAAGTGACAAATAAAAACATTAGTCAATTATAATACTATCATAAAAACACAAATGTACTAACATTATGTACAACCTCTATGTGCATTTTATACTTGAAGAAGCCAATTAAAAAACTTGCTATCTGCTTCAAGTAATTTTGAAATCAACCTCATGTTTTATTTTTATGTATATATCTTTATCTTAAGTCAAAGTATTGAATGTTAAAAAGATACTACTACAATTTCTTCTCAAGTTTTTTTTTTTCATAATTATTAGCAATATTTAGTAATTTTTTTTGGCAAAGACTATTTTAGCTCTTTCAAATGGATAATTAATATCTTAAATATCTTTAAAAGAATGATTAACTACCTCAAGTTAATAACAATATTACATTAGAAATTCATCCTAAATAATAAGCAAAGATTAGCAAATAAATTCAACACTATTGAAATTCTTATTAATTCAAGAAAAAAAAAACTTTATTATAGTCTAATAGAATCTTGAACATAGAATATGTGATCTTTTTTCTATCACGTAGAAATGTGATAATTCCTAATCATGCAATATATATGATAATCTTTTGTATTAATTAAAATTTAGTTGCCAAAATATCGTAGACAAGTATCTTGCCAATTCTTAGAGATCTATTTAGATAAAATAGGTGCCAATTTTCTTCTATTATATATACTATAATATCATCATATACATTCTTTTGTTCAAGATTCAAAATTTTATTCCAAATTTACTTTTAATTGTTGAATATTTCATATTCTTTTTTTAGCAATACATTGATTTTTATCGACTATTGTATTCTAGTTGTTTCTTAGTAATGACATTGGAAGAAAGTAAACAAGCATTTTGTTGAGGTTCTACAAAATCTTAATCAATAGAATAAGTCCAAAATCCTTGATTTGTTCCTTTGTTTGATTGCTAATTCTATGTTTTTTTTACAAATATATATTGAAATCATTTAAGATATTTTTATTTATTTTTTATTATTTTATTATTTTTTTATAGATTTATTGGATTTATTAGATTTTTATGAAGTAAAAATATAACAAATATAATCTTCAATTGATATCTACTTTGTATTCATGATGCCTCTTTTAAACATTGTTGGTATTCTTTATCATCTTCAAATAATCCTAAAAGTACACATACACTTTTAAATGTTGGATAGAAAATTTTATCAATAGTCTTTAAGAGGTCAAATGATTGTGGACATCTAATATGGATTAACAAAAGCTTCAAATAATATAAATCTTTGTTGTTGATTTTTAA